GGTCTCCTCGCGGAGCCACCGCCTTCGGGCTGTCCCTGCGTTCCTGCCCGAATCAGCGGCTGTGTGGAACCCGCGCCCGGCTGCGGAGTGCGGGATGTGAGGAGTCCGGCGGGTACTGGAGCCGCCGCGGCGGATGGGCCCGGGCCCCGCAGCGACAGTGCCTGGCGCTGGGAATGTGACGGCAGAGGCTCGGGAACGGCAAGGGATCGGGAACGGCAGGGGATCGGGAATGGCACGGGAGCGGGAACGGCAGGGGCTCGGGAACGGCAGGGGATCGGGAATGGCAGGGGATCAGGAACGGCAGGGGATCGGGAACGGCAGGGGCTCGGGAATGGCAAGGGATCGGGAATGGCAAGGGATCGGGAACGGCAGGGGATCGGGAACGGCAGGGGCTCGGGAACGGCAGGGGCTCGGGAACGGCAGGGGATCGGGAATGGCAAGGGATCGGGAATGGCAAGGGATCGGGAATGGCAGGGGAGCGGGAATGGCAGGGGAGCGGGAATGGCAGGGGAGCGGGAATGGCAGGGGATCGGGAATGGTGGGACCGGGACCGCCCCCGCCCCCACACCCCCAGCCCCGCCCCAGCGCGGCCACGTGACCAGGCCGGGCAGGACCCTGGCGACCAAGGGGGCGGGACGGCCGGGCGGGATATTCCATTTCCATTGGTCTGCTTGCATCACGTGTCCCGAGGGGGCGGGCCGACCGGCGCATTCCCCGCCTCCCATTGGCTGCCTCGCCCCTCATGGCGGGCGGTGCTGACGCCGGCGCGGGCGATTGGCCGGGGCGGCGCGCGCGGATGTGGGCGCTGGTGCGGGCGCTGCCGCCGGGCCGCGGGCTCGTGTGGGGACGGGCGGGGAGCGGGGCTGGGATCGGGATCGGGATCGGGATCGGGAGCGTCAGGGCCGGGATCGGGAGCGTCAGGGCCAGGCCCCGCGGCTGGGCCATGTCCGAGGGCCCGTCGGCGGCGCGGCCCGCGCGGCGGCCCAAGGACGTTCCGCGGCACGTGTGGGCCCGCGAGCGGCGGCGCAGCGCGGGCGGGGGCCTGGCCGGGCCCAACACCGTGTACGTGCAGGTGGTGGCGGCCGGGACGAGGGACGCGGGGGCGGCCGTGTACGTGTTCTCCGAGTTCAACCGGTCAGTGCCCGGGGGCGGGGGGGGAGAGGGATCGGGGCTGGGACGGAGACTGGTGTGGCTGGGGCTGGGAAGGGGGATGGGGATGGGGCTGGAGTCGGGACCGGGGATGGGGGTGGCGGTCGGTCACCCCTCCCTGGCCCGCCCTGACGCCCCTTTTCCCCCCAGGTACCTGTTCAACTGTGGCGAGGGCACCCAGCGGGCCATGCAGGAGCACAAGTAAGTGGGGACACCGAGGGGGGGGCCGCCCCAGGGCTGGACCGGCCCCTCTGACTCCCGCGCTCCCCGTGTCCCCCGCAGGCTGAAGATCTCCCACCTGGACAGCATCTTCCTCAGCAGGGTGGCCTGGGCCAATGTCGGGGGGCTGCCAGGTGAGCGGGGGAGGGGGCTGGCACGGCCGTGGGGGCGGATCTGCGAGCCGGGGGTGGTCACTTGGAGATGCTGGGGGTGTTTTAGGTCCTGGCAGGACGAGGGACGGTGCTGTTACAGGGTCTGGGCTGCACGTGGGGCTCTGCCAGTGCAGACACATGGTGGAACAGGCCCTGCTGGCCCATCGTGCCTGGCTTTATCTTCCCCAAAATCACCCAGAGCAGAAGGTGTTACCACTGTTGTTGCCAGCAGGGAGCTGCTGACTGGTTAGGCTGGTTTGAGTCCAAAGGGATGACGAAGGTTTGCTGCCACCACTGTCCTCAAAGCAAGAAGAGGTTAGAACAGATGGCTTAGTATCTTGCCCATTAAAATTCTGGAAATCTCCAAGAAAAGAGGATGTTGCAGTGTGTTCAGATGCCTTGCTTCAAATGATGGCTACCCAGATGTGTAGATATTTTCTTCCTCTGTAGAGATAAGTGACTTATTGAAACTGCCACAAAGCTGAGGCAAAATTGAATTTGGATCTGAGCTCAGTTGAGGCTGAGGCCCAGTACTCCTGCACACTGAGAGGGATCTTTCTTCTGGGGTCTCCCAGCAGTAACTGGGGCTGTGATAAAGCTGTTTCCCTGCTTGTTTTTAGGTATGATTCTCACCTTGAAGGCTATAGGGCTTCAGAGATGTATGTTCCTGGGGCCACCAAAGCTGGTAAGTAGGGGAAGATACAGAAGGGAGAGCAAGTGTTAAAGTTCAGACTGGAATTGGTGGCAAAGTGAATCTTTGTGCAGGTGTAAAATGCTGGTGTGAGTGTCAGCCAGGAGGGCTGCCTTCAAAATCCAAATCACAGGACAGTGTGAGACTTCTGCTCCTTAAAACTGTCCTGTCACCTTATATCCTGAGAAATCATCTTTTGGGAGAAGGGGGTTCTCTGTTCCCTTGTCTGCTCCCTCCGGGTTTTACGTCAATAGAAACTCAGTCTCATCTCCTGCTTCAGGAGGTCCTTGCCAGCCTAACGCAACGTCTGGGCTGAAAATTTGCAGTCCTCAGCATTGTTTTATTTCCTTGCAGTTTCTGCTGACTGATTCTATGGATGGAAGGGGTGGGGACAGTGGTTCTTTGTTGTCCTTTCTCTTTCCAAACACGCTGTGCCTGCTGGAGGTGGGACCCCTGCCCAGAGCTGCCTGGGTGCTGCCCAGATTTGTCTGACTGGGCACTCAGCCTTTCCCTTCTCTGAATGTACCTGTAGGTGCTGGAAGTGGTGCTTGTGCTGGCACTGCTTGTGCCACCTCCTGATACACCTCCTGATACGCTGTCTCTTTTCCAGCAAAACTATTTGAAGGCCATTCGCCTCTTTCCCGGGCCCCTCAAAAGGATGGATTTAGGTATGTAGGTCAGGGGTGTGAGCAGGTGAACTTGTAATATCTTGTTTCACCTGTAACCACGGTTACATTGAACAGTAACAACTTCAGAGTAAATGCCTCTGGTTTGGATCCACTCAGAGAAAGTTGTAAACATCTGTTTCGCTCTGCTACACTGTTCAAACCATCACAACGGTGTTTCCAGCTCTGTCCTTGCTGGGGGGCTGCCAGAGTGGCTGATCCAGACAGTTTGGTTTATAAACTCTGTGAAGGGAATTTGCTTCCAGAGTCTGCCAGTGAGCTTGCTCAGTGGTCTCATGGACAGCTCCCTGAGGGTGGTGGGCTTTTACAGCTTCAAGTATTCATTGGGGTTTGGAGTTGGGCAGAGAAAGGCAAGGGGAAGGTTCAGCAGGTTGTGTTTAGGAAAGAAAAAGATTTGCATTGTTGTGGAGGGTGAGTCTCTGCTTATGAAGGTGTTAATGCTGGGTTCCATCTCTTCTCAGCTGTGCAGTTACACACAGAGCCCGAGTACAAGGACGAGACAATGACAGTCCACCAGATACCTCTGACAGGTGAGCACCTGATGTTGCACTGACACAGGGCAAGCACAATTTAGGTGGTTTAAAGAACAGCTTTTGTTTGCCAGCCTGAGTAAGCAGAAGTTCATTAATTTGTGTGTTCTTCTAAGGAGAAAGACCTTGTTCAAAGGAACAAGACCTGCTGAGTCAGAGCCTTGGCTTGTTCCTGTAGGTGTGGGTGGATGCAATGATGAGAAAGCCAAATCCCTGGGTTTGGCTTTCTCAGCCAGCTGAGTTCTTACTGCTGGAAACTCTGATACTGAGAGTGCAACACAGAGTTGACAGAGTTTAACAGTTTGGGGAGGAGGACTTTGATGGGGGGTGGCTCCCAAAATAAGTGACTGGAGTATGCAAGTCAGACTGGGGGTAGGAGGTCTGTATTCTAGTGCAATTTAAACATGCCTATCATGGAAGGTAGAATGCTACTCCTTGTTTTCTTATCTGTCCCTTTGGATTGAGTGATCTTTGTCTGCTTTTATTGGATTTGGGACAGGAAAACCACTGGTTGCTGATAGTAAATCACCCCAGAGTCCTGGAGCATCAACCCAAGGTGGAAACAGCCCTAAAGGGGACACAGGGCCTGGATCCCCGAGAGCTGCACAGCAAAGCTTGGAGGAGAGCAAAGGAAATAAAAGCCCAAAGAAAACAGGTGAAAAACATGGAATGGCCTTTTTAACTTCAGTGAGATTAAGGCAAATTAAGGACATGCATTTGTCCTCCGAGCCATTTGCTCTCTGGGAGTGAGGTCTGTAGAGAAGCTCAGCTGGAGGATTCCATGAAGCAGAATGTGTTCTGTACTGTGGAACCTGACACAGAGCTCTTAAGGCCTAGAAACTGGACATGATTCCTGCTGGGGTGTGATTAGTCCCTATAGTAGTTTGATTCTGGCTGGGGTGTGTGCTCCAGCCTTTATAATTTAGTTACAGCTGTATGTTGGGCTGACTGTTTTTCAGTCTTGGCTTTGGTTTTTTGTAGCTGAAGCCATGAGCTCTCTGGCCTTGGGTGCTTGTACATTTTGCTGCTGGACTCCAAGTTGGGCAGATGATGTTCCTGTGTTGTTCCTGTTAATGCTTTAGCAAATATTGCCACGTTTTGGTTTTAAGGAAAGTGACAGTGAGTGATGATTTTTGAGTAGTTTTACTTTCTTTTACAGGTGATGAGCAGAAGTGTGCCAGGAGGAATCCTGACCTGGTGATGGCTTTCCTCTGTAAAGTAAGCTTGGGCACAAAGGTCTCTAAACCAACATAAAACACACTGGAGAATAGAACAGCATTTCTGGGGGAAGGGACCTGCAATGATCATCTGAAATCACAGAATGGATTGGGTTGGAAGGGACCTGGAAGATAATCCAGTTCTAACCCCCCTGCCATGGGCAGGGACACCCTCCACTAGACCAGGTTGCTCCAAGCCTTGTCCAGCTTGGCCTTGGACACTTCTAGGGTTGAACCATCCAGTCCAACTGCCCGACCACTTTGGGCTGTCCAACATTTAAAGTGTGTTATTAAGGGCATCTCT